AAATTGGGGGGTCCAGGCCAGTTCCAGGAATTCTCAACCCCATTAGGGTTCTTTCCTATGGGTGAGTGGAGTCTGGCTAGGGAACTCAGGCCTCCAGATGGAGAGAAACACAGTGAGAACAGTTGCTTTACACCAAAAGCATTTATGAACTCTAAAACCATATCCACGATAAGTATTTATTATCTCTAAAGCCATGCACAAGTAAAACATAATCACTTTTGATAAAGTTCCTCATCAAAGGCTCCTAAATAAGCTCAAAAATCATGGGATAGAAGGACAAGTCCTTTTATGGTTCAAAAACTGGCTAATTCATAGAAAACAGAGAGTGAGTATAAATGGGCAATTTTCTCAGTGGAAGGTGGTAAGCAGTGGGGTACCGCAGGGATCAGTACTTGGTCCACTGCTTTTTAACTTGTTCATTAATGATTTGGAGATGGGAGTAAGCAGTGAAGTGGCTAAATTTGCAGATGATACGAAGTTGTTCAGGGTGGTGAAAACCAGTAACGATTGTGAGGCACTCCAAAGGGATCTGTCAAGGATGGGCAAGTGGGCGTCAACATGACAAATGGGGTTCAATGTGGCCAAGTGCAAGGTGATGCACATTGGAGCCAAAAATCCTAAATATAAATACACATTGATGGGGTCTGAACTGGCAGAGACTGATCAAGAGAGAGATCTTGGAGTTGTAGTGGATAACTCACTGAAAATGTCGAGACAGTGTGTGACTGCAATAAAGAAGGCCAATGCTATGCTGGGGATTATTAGGAAGGGTATTGAAAACAGATCAGCCAATATAATAATGCCCCTATATAAATCAATGGTGAGACCTCATTTGGAATACTGTGTGCAGTTCTGGTCACCACACCTTAAAAAGGATATTATAGCTTTGGGAAAAGTGCTGAAAAGGGCAACTCGAATGATAAAAGGGTTGGAACACTTTCCCTATGAGGAAAGGTTAAAGCGCTTAGGGCTCTTAAGCTTGGAGAAACGACGACTGAGGGGTGACATGATCGAGGTTTATAAGATTATGCATGGGAAAGAGCAGGTAGAGAAAGAGGTACTTTTCTCCCTTTCTCACAATACAAGAACTCGTGGGCACTCAATGAAACTGCAGAGCGGTCGGGTTAGAACGAATAAAAGGAAGTACTTCTTCACCCAAAGAGTGATTAACACATGGAATTCACTGCCACAGGAAGTGGTGGCGGCTACAAGCATGGACGGCTTCAAAAGGGAATTAGATAAGTATATGGAGCAGAGGTCCATCAGTGGCTATTAGCCACACGGTATAGATAGGAGCTCTGGGGCAAGTGAGGCTCTGTCTTCTTGGTGCTTGGGGGGGGGTCAACAGTGGGAGGGCTTCTAATATCCTGGCCCCACTGGTGGACCTCCTGATGTCACTGATATTTCTGGCCACTGTGTGACACAGAGTGTTGGGCTGGATGGGCCTTTGGCCTGATCCAACATTGACGTCTCCTATGTTCTTATGTTCATATATTCAATATCAGTACCTAATAGCATATAGAAAATTCCCAGTGCTCGATATAGTGTACAGTTCAGAAAGAACAAGGAATTCCTGAACTGTGTACCAAGATCTCACTTATGCTTAGGTGGGGTGTTTGCTAAACAGCCTCAAACAAAGCCGAAATCCTCCTTTTTAAATTTTAAATTGTTTTCAACCAACAGGAATTAAGGGAGGAGTCAATTAAAATACACCAACCTTGCCAAGTACCAGCCCACACTTTGTTGAGATGGTGAACCTTCGCTAACATGACCATTTGCCCAGATAGATTTTATTAACTGCAATATCAGACCTAGACAGATATATTTAGGCTTTGGAACCTAGCACTTGTAAGGCCATGGAATGGGCAGTCAGCAAAGGCACATCTATAGGGCAAGGCCTTAGTTTTTACAACTTGGCTGCTAGCAAAACAGCAAAGGCTTTTTGGACTTTTGAACCTAGAAACCAAAGTCAGTTATATACAGAGAAGGTAGATTTTGTACAGATCACTGTATGATCCTCCAGCAACTCATAGAGAAATATGGGGGCGTGGCTTCGACGCTCAGTGCAGTGGACGCCTGAGCAATTAGCTCCTTCTAACCTTCCCATTTTTATCATCACGGCTGACCTTTTCATATTTAATCGAGCTCCATAAGACGTGGGAAAGAATTCTGGCACCAAAGGCAGAAACGCGGCACCAGTAAGTAAAGTGGTTTCATCATATTTTCCTTAAAGCAAGAAAAAAGGGCCTGCAGACAAGACCGCTGAAAAAGGACACAAAATGGCAGTGGACCCCATGGACCAGCAACCAGAGGGATTGATGGTCTCCCAGCAAGAATTCCATGACTCATTGCAGGAACTTGAGAAAAAAGTATGTCCGCAACGATCACTGAGCTCTTCTTTCCACTGAATTCACAATTAACCAAACATAGAGAAATACTCTTCAACGAGAGTAGTATTTTTATATGTCACCTACATTGATCTAAAGGTGGCATTTGACTCCATTTCCAGAACTAAGCTCCTGGGGTATGTTGGAGGCCACTAATATTGATTGCAGGCTGCTTTTCCTGATCCATGCCCTACATGAAAAGACCTCTCTAAAGGCCAGGTGCAGGAAGCTGGGACATCTTTCAAACGCCATCCCCACTCTTAGAGGCTTGAAACAGGGCTGTATTTTAGCACCGGCTCTCTTCAACTTTTATATAAATGACTTGGTCAAATGCTAAAGTGACCAGGCCTTTCGTTCACTTATACTATACCATCATCAGATTTCTTATTTTATGCAGATGTTGCAGATATTCTGTTAAGGAACCCGGATGGGCTAAGAAGCGCCCTAAAGGCTCTAGTACAACATTGCAAAGAAGACTCTCAATAAATTATCAAAAAACAAAGATAATGGCTTTTGGTAAGAAAGAATTCTAGAACCTGGACCATTGATGGCCAGACCTTCAAATACCTTCATGCAGTATTCCATGCTTCCGGCTCAAGAAAAGCATACATTGCCCACGCAGCAGATACCAGACAGAAGTCGCCACACAATATACTTAGATTTCTTAGAACTAAGGGTGGATATTACATGCCTGCTGCCCTAAAACTCTTCCAGGCCAAAACCTTGGCCTAACTTCTGCACAGAACTGCGATAGGGCCAACATCATCTTCTTTTGCCCCTCTTGAGTATGTTCAATCAAAGTTCCTAAGAGCAGCATTAGAAGTCCCCAGTTGCATACCAAATGCTTTACTACGTTTGGGGACCCACACAGGAGAGAAGCCTTTTGAATGTTCAGTGTGTGGGAAGAGATTCAGTTGTACTGGCCATCTTCAAACCCATCTTTGCTCAGCAAAGAAGGTGATGAAGGGAATCCTGAGGGTGGGTGAAATTGTCATAGCTTGTCAAAGACTTTGTCCCATGGCAGTGGGCCCAAGATAACAGGCATGTTTTCCTACAGAACGGCATTTGAACTTTGGTCTCCCAGATCCTAGCCAAGAGCTCTAAGTAGTACACCATACTGGCTGTCATTCTTGTTTGACAAATGGTGTCACATAAGAATGACTCCAGACAGTCTATACCCAGTAGGAAAAAAAGGGTCAGGTCTATCATTGATGCTGAAAAACAGAAGCTCCAAGCAATGACTGATTGTTCTGTTGAGTTCTTCATGGAGATTGCAATAGGAAGCCTTGCCTCTGCCTGAAGCAGGCCCTGTGCTGAAGAAGACCAGGGATTAGTCCTGGGGGACTGCAGTAGGGTGGTGGAACCAAGGCAGCTGGATCACTGGGTCGGCCTCAAGAACTAGGCATTAGCAAGAGGGCTTGGAGTCGAGAGCAATAGCGAATCGGTTCTGACCTGAAGAAGAGTTGGATTTATACCCCACCCTTCACTCAGAGTGGCTTACAGTCTGCTTACTTTCCTGTCCCCACAACACACACCCGGTGAGGGAGGTGGGGCTGAGAGAGCTCTGAGAGAACTGCTCTTGAGACCCTCATTTTTGTTAGACCACCACTATGCACCACCACAGCAGCTGTGTGAGGTCTTCTGCACGAGCCAACCCATTCCTTCTCTGTTGTGGCCCCCCACCTTAATTCATGCCCTGCCTGAGGGAGCCTGAGGAAGGCTCCTGCTCTCCAGGCTGTCTGCTAACCGTGCAGAACAAGGATTCCAGAGAGCTTTTCTATGCATGCGATAGAAGTCACTGTACTGAATGACTCACAAAATTACTTGCATAAATGATTAGGGGCTGTGGTCTGTGCTGCTGTGTTTAGCTTACTGAAACTAGGATCCTACTGTGTAATTTTTGAGTCATTTAATGTGTCATGTTAAGACTTATGCTCTTGCTTTCATGCTGTTTTTAGATATCTGATTGGTTTGACAAGCTTTGTTTTGTTTATGGAATGCTCCATCTTGTTGTTTGTATTGACTCACGCTGTGTAATCTGCCTTGAGTCCAAATGAGAAAGGCGAACTATAAATAAATATATAATATCTGGCCGAGTCTCCTCATCTCCCCAAGCCCCTCCCTCTCCAAGGCTCAACCCCTAAATCTCCAGGAAGTTTTCAGCCTGTAACTGGCAGCTAGAGGTGTACGGGGGGGGGGGATCAGGGTTTTTCTTGGATTTGGGTATAATAAAGCCGAATGTTTTCAGGATTCCTGAATATACCCGAATACGAATGCCAGTATTCTATTGGTACCAGAAAATTTTCGGGTCCATTATATCCTATGGGGCCATTGTAGTCAATGGCAAAAGTTTGGAAAAGATTGGACCAGGTGGTCCATTTATGGGGCATCCAAAGAGGTGCCCCCGATCCTCCATTGTTTCCTATGGGGATGGGGAAATTGCAGGCAGCAGTGTCTCCCTGAGAATCTCTCTGGAAGAAAGTAAGTCCGGTGTGGTGGTGTGAGGGGGCATGTTTGCCAGCCCAGCAGCCGAACCTGTGCAATGGTTCCCCCCCCCCCCAGAATCAGTACCACAGTGGCAGTCAGTGCCCAAACCCAACAGGACTCAGGTCAAATCAGATAATCTCTGGGGGCATTTGACCTGAGTTCTGTTTGGTTTGGGCACTGACTGCCACAGTGGCACTGGTTCTGGGGGGCACACTGCACTGGTTCTGCTGCTGGCCTGGCAAATATGCCCCCTCACACAACCATACTTCACTTTCTTGCAGTGAGATTCTTGGGCAGAAACTGCTGCCTGTCTTTTTTCCATCCCGGTCGGAAACAATAAGAAGCTGTGGTGGCTCAAGTGGTTAAGACACTGAACTGCAGGCTAGAAGGTTGGTAGTTCAGCAGTTTGAGACCCGAGTGCCACATGACAGCGTGAGCTCCCGTCTCTGGTCCCAGCTCCTGCCAGCCTAGCAGTTCGAATGCAAAGAAACTGCAAGTAGATAAATAGGTACCGCTTCGGTGGGAAGGTAACAGTGTTTCATGCACCTTGGCGTCTAGTCATGCCGGCCACATGACCACGGAAATATCTGAAAAGTGCTGGCTCTTCAGCTTGGAAATGGAGATGAGCACCACAACCCTACAGTCGGATTTGACTGGCTTTCGAGCAAGGGAAACCTTTACCTAGGAAACAATGGAGGAATGGGGGCACCCTCTCTGGATTCCCCTTGAATTGGACCTCCTGGTCCAATCTTTTCCAAACTTGGGAGATCTTTTGGGGAGAGGCTACAGTACAAAGTTGTTGCCTCTACCTCAAGCCCCCTCCCTCCAGCCTCCTGAATACTTGGTAGAGGATTTTTGCCATTGACTACAATGGCCCCATAGGATGTAATGGACCTGAAAATTTTCAGCATTCATTTTTTGGCAGCCACATCAGCTCAGGGAAGCTGATTCGGTATCCCCAGAACCCAAAAAAATCCAAAACCTTTTTCCGGGTTTTTTAAGGGTTGGCTTTACCAAATGCACACCCCCACTGGCAACTCTAGAAGTGCCTGGCCCTGATGAGTCCTTCCTCAAAGGCCAAAAAGCCTATGAAAAGGAAATTCCAGCCTTTAATTAACCTTTCCCACAGTATTGTGCCCAAGCTCTAAGTTTCCTTCGTTGGTCTATGTGTTTCTGAGGATAAGACTCTGGGTTAACAGTAAACAAGATAAAACTTTATTGGTAAAAGAAGCGTAATGGTTACAAAATTTTCACTGAGTTGCTCAGTAAAATCTTTCTCTTTTTACTCAGGACTCTGTCAGCTTTTTCCCTCATACTCTTAAAATACTCTGACTATATTATTTTTTTTCCTAATGTGCCCCCTTTAGTATATTTCCTTCCTCCTTTAGAATCTTAATGCTTCTCACAGCACTTCTGTATGATTCTAGTTAGGAGACTACTTCTCACACTCTGTATTGTGACCACAACTGACAGCTGCTGACTTCAGACTTCAAAACTTCAGACTTCTGACTAAGGCTCTGCCTTCACTCTCTCCACACACGCCTCTCCCAGGTCCGCCCACACACTCTCAGTCACCAACCAATCACCTCACTCACTCATCTCCCTCTTTCATCCCTTTGTTCTTCTGACACTTATCAACCCTTTGAAGGAACATGCACTTATAACTTAAAATCCTTATATCCAGTCACTGCATTTAGGCATGCTCAGATGTTGCCAACTTAGCTATTGGAATATGTGATTTATTTTATTAAAACATATCCTGTTTTACTAAGAAGGGATTTTTAGAAGTCCGACCCCTAAGTGGGGCAAAAGGGGCAAAATTTGCACCACCACCCCCATTGATTCCTATGTGGCTGCCAGGCAGCTGTCTCCCTGCACCCCCACCCCCACCCTCTGATTGGTCAGCTGCCAAGCTCAGGGTTCTGAGGTTAAAAAAAACAAAAACAGTTACAGGGATTGCAGGAAGCTATTGACACTTGAGGAAATCAGGAGTGGTCGACAACACTCCCCCCACCTGCTACACCTAACGGAACCCGTGTCCAACTCAGAGTTCGTTTGCCTTATTATGGGGGAGGGAAGCAAGTGAGTCGCTTTAGCCGGCTTGCTTGAAACCGCAGGCACCTCGTCTTCCAGGAGGAGAAGCTGCTCCTAAGAAGACGGATCCGGGGGGGGGAGGGTTTCCTTCGAGCAGGCGGATCCCCGCCTGCCCCCGTCCAGGGAAGAGGGCTCCGTCGGATCCCACCAAAGAAGAAGGACCTGAAAGGAGGGAAGGGGGGGCTTTTCCTGAGAGCTGACCAGAGTCCCGTTTTGAGAAACTGGGAAGGCGTTGCAAGAAGTTCAGTGCTCTGTGCGGAGTTCCTCCAGAGGAATCCCACTGAGCTGCATTACAGGGCATCGATGCTGACTGCAGCCAGGCTGTGTGTGTGTCTGGGCGCTGCTGCTCTCGACGGGGAGGGCGGGAGGAGCAGCCCCGTCAATCCTGGCTCTGCAGCTCTGAATGGGTTAAAGCAGCCGAGCTATGGGCTAGAGAGGCCGGTCGAGGGAGGGAGGTGCTTTTTCCTGGGGGGGGCCCGGCGGAAATGTTGGGTTCTGAGCGGGGGGAGAAAGGGGGGGGTGTTTCCAGACGGGCCGCGACAGAGCCCGTGAGCCGGATCCTGGGACGGTCTCCTCTCGAATAAGTCAGAGGAGGCCCGGGAAGAAGCCCCAGGCGGGATCGCGGGGGAGGAGGAGGGACCCTTCGTGCCGAGGGGGGGGGGGCTGCCCAAATCCCTCTCGCCTTTTGGCCGGGGCCCCCCCCCCCCATCTGCAGTTTCCCGGCGGCAGGTAATTTCCATGATTTTATTTATTTACATTAATTACAGTCCGCCCTTTAGTGGGACTCCACAGAATCAATACATTCAATACAATAAGCTCTGCAGCAGAATGTTGGGGTTGGGGAACTGTCCAGGCGTCTGGGAAACAGTCTTGAAGGAAAACATAAATGTTAACGTGGCATAGTCGGACCCAGTTTACAGCAAACAGTCCTAGAGATGTACCCAAGAAACCTTGTGAAGCCTTTTCTCCGGTGCCACCCTATTCCTTGCTTAGAAAAGCCCTCTTGAAGGATTCAGTTCTGCTTAGTCTGTGGGAAGGCAGACGAGTGGGTGCCTTCCTGACCCCCTCAGGCAGACCATTCCTGGGGGCCATAAGAGAGAAGGCCCCTGTCCAGGCCAGCCAGTGGGGGGACTGCAGAAGGGCAGTAATTTGCCTGCTCCATCCAGCTCCTCATAATAGCCGAGCGGGCGTTCTGCACCAGCTGGAGTGTCTGAATTAGTTTAATGCAATCTACAGGGCATTGATCCAGTCTAGTCTCCAGGTCACTGTGGCAGTTCAGTTTCAACTTATTCACTCTTAGCCAATGAACCACAGCAGCCAGGAAGCCGCTTAGGACCTCTGCCCCATCCCTGCCTCTTTCTCCTGCTCCTGTTTGCCCCCCAGCAGCCCCTGTATCCTGACCTGGGGAGGCCCCTCTGCCCCTTCCTCTCTACTGGCCACTTGCGCAGAGCTCTTGCCAAGCCCTTCTGGCCTACGGAGGAGCTCTCTGCAGTGGTTAAACCATTACAAGTTGCTTTGTCCTGGTCCACAGTTTAGTTGCACCCACTAGACAGACTGGTCCCCAGGTACCGAAGGCCAAGCTCACAACATCCACAGCAGATATTTAAAGAGCCCAATAGAGATGTTGTTCTTTCCTGAAGGACCAAGCAAGCATAACCTAAAAAGCTTGATACTTAATATAACCCCAGGGCCTTAATCCTGAACTGCAAACTACTCCATGGACACTCCTTCTGATCCACTTACCTTTGTCTTGACCAGGTCACTGAAATAACTCAGCTTTATTTTGGTTTCTTTCTGCCTTTTTGATATCTTGCCCTCTTCACAGGCAAGTGAATAAGAGTGTCTTTCCACAGTCAGAGGCAACTCAAGAGGAAGGAGAAAGAGATGGAAGAGGAGGACCCAGAAGGTCCTGCAACTGTCAAAAGATTGAGAAAAGGTCCCCATTCTCTCCAAGCAGGGAGTGCTGCTGGATTTTGGGAAAGAGCTGTGCCAGAGACCTTGGCTCAGGACACTATGACCACAGATGTACACAGCCGATGCTTCCGGCAGTTCTGTTACCACGAGGCTGATGGGCCCCGAGAGGTTTGTAGCCGGCTCCATGGACTTTGCAACTACTGGCTGCAGCCGGAGAGGAACACCAAGAAGCAGATCCTGGACCTGGTGATCTTGGAGCAGTTCCTGGCCGTCCTGCCCCAGGAAATGCAGTGCTGGGTCAGAGGATGCGGGCCAGAGACCAGTTCGCAGGCGGTGGCCCTGGCCGAAGGTTTCCTCCTGAGTCAGGCAGAGGAGAAGAGGCAGGCAGAGCAGGTGAGGGTTTTTCATTCACTCGGGTCAAGCAGTAACCTTATTCTAAGGCTTCCTTTCAGATATTTCTGCTTCCTACTTGTAGCGACCCAATGAATTAATGTCCTCCAGAATGTTCTTTTGTTAAGATATTTCCTTGGCTCTTACAAACGGAGGGCCATAGCTTCCTTGATTGAGTCAATCCATCCCGTATTTGGTCTTCTTCTTTCCCATCCTGATTTGTCTTTTTGGTGGTCCACTCCAAAGTATCCATAAAAACTCTCCTCCAGTACCACAACTGGGAGCCTGTTTGGTGTAGTGGTTAAGAGTGGTGGTCCCTATGCAGCTTCAGTTGGCTCTGTAGGATCCGATGCCCCGAGGCGGCTCGTTGATGAGCTTGTAGAGGATTGGCAAAGCCTTCTCTCGGCAGCCGTCAACTAGATCGCTCTCCAACACCCTCTGCGCCCTCGCTCTAAGCTGGCTCCCTGGTATACCCGGGAGCTGCAGCTGATGAAGCAGAGGCTAAGACAGCTAGAGTAGCGGCGTTCACGCGATGAAGCTACAAGAGCATCTTCCAGGACACTTATGAGATCCTATGAGATGGCAGTCAAAGCCACGAAGAGAGAGTTCTACACGGCTACGATCGCGTCTGTTAGCGCATGCCCAGTACAATTGTTTAGAACTATTCAGTCTTTGACAGTCCTGTCACAGGACAGACCAAATGCTGGGGAATTGCATATTGGCTGTGAGGCTTTTGTGAGCTATTTTGCAGATAAGGTCTTGTCGCTCCGCCGTGATCTTCCTGTCACAGTTGAGACAGTGAGCAAACTCAGGGCTCCATGCACATCTTCTAGTCCAATTTTGGACTATTTTAGTCCATTCAGCCTAGAGGAAGTCGACAGATTGCTCTTGACAGTACGCCCAACTACGTGCAGCCTTGATCCGTGCCCTTTATGGCTAATTAAAGTTGGCTGTGAAGGGTTTCAAGGTGCCCTTAAGGAAATTATTAACTGTACCCAGGGGCACTCAAGGAAGCGACGGTCCACCCTCTCCTAAACAAACCATCCTTGGATCCGGCTGAATTGGCTAATTATTGGCCGGTTGCCCTATTTGGGCAAATTAATTGAGAGGGCGGTGGCAATACAGTTGCAGGGCTTTATGGATGACACTTCCATGTTAGAGCCTTTCTAGTCTGACTTTCGCCCGGGACATAGGACAGAGACGGCACTGGTCGCCCTCAGAGATGACCTCCAGAGGCATCTGGACCGGGGCGGGATGGCAGTGCTGTTGCTGTTAGACCTGTTGGCAACATTCAACATGGTCGACCATCAGCTACTGATCCACCGCCTCGCTGAAATGGGGATTCAGGGGCTTGCCTTGCAATGGCTTGTCTCCTTTCTACAAAGTCGGGGACAAAGGGTGGCTCTCGGGGATCAGCTGTCCCGAAGGCACCTGCTGATTTGCGGAGTGCCCCAAGGGGCAGTGCTCTCCTCGATGTTATTCAACATCTATATGCACCTCCTTGCCCAGATTGCCCGGAGGCACAGGCTTGGGTGTCACCAATATGCAGATGACACCCAGCTGTATCTGATGTTGGGCGGCTAGTCCGACTCAACCCCGGAAGATCTGGACCAGGCGTTACAAGCTGTGGCAGGTTGGCTTAGACTGAGCCGATTGAAATTGAATCCGATGGGGTTCCAGTCTCAGCGTTTCGCTGCTTGGATGCGTCCCGTCTACCTCTGATGGAGACGTAACGAGACTTGGCTGACGGAAAGGGTTCGAGCTGGTGACGGACCCTCCCGCGGTCTTCACAGGAGACCCTCATCCTGGGGAGCTGAGGAGAGCCTCTTCCAAGGTGCCGGCTAAGGAATTGAGGCTCACCTTTTCCCCATAAGGTCCCGTCACCGTAGAGCCAATATGGCGATCAGAGACCAGTGCCGGAGCAAGCGGACACGACTGAAAGTTTTAAAAAATGCTTCTGAAAGTTGCCCAATGCTCCGAAACATGAGTTAAGCAATGTACAAGAGATACAAAGCGAACATGAGCCTTGGTAGAAATTAGAAGCGCCAACGAAAAAAGCGTGGGTGGAGGAGGAATTCAAGACCCCCCCAGAGAAACCTAAAAAGCGGTTTTAAATCGAGAACAAAAGACTTTAAGCATGATCTTGTCCATGGGGTCGCGAAGAGTCGGACTCGACTGTGCGACTGAACAACAGAAAACCAAAGAAATCCTTAACGAAGTCAGAAACTGCATGCTAGTATAAAAACGATTAAAATTGTTGAACTTTTATCTTGTTTTGGAAGACTTACTTCTTGTTGATATTATGACGGGGAGAGGACGGAGAACGATGCCAGAGAAGAAACCACTCCCAGGAAACAACCAACCAATGACTCCCTCCCAGAACCAGGAAGTAACTACAGACTTTTCTACACTGTTAGCAAATGTACTGCACCCTCTAATGGAGCAGATGACGAATCTCAACACCAAATTGGACTCGATCCGAAAACAGTTGACCCAAATGGATAAAAGAACTTCAGCTACAGAGAAAAGAATAAAAACGATGGAAAAAAAGACTGAGAGTAATAATAAAAGAATGGATGAGGCGGACAAAGAAAGATCCTCTGACAAAACACAGCTAATACAGCTCCAGTTGGAAAGATCCACATGTTTTACGTTTCCAAGGGATTCCAGAAGAAAAAAATGAGAACTTAAAGAAGAAGAAGAAAAAGAGATTGGATTTATACCCCGCCCTTCACTTGGAGTCTCAGAGCGGCTTACAAACTCCTTTCCCTTCCCCTCCCCACAACAGACACCCTATGAGGTGGGTGGGGCTGAGAGAACTCTGACACAAACTGCTCTTTTTCAAGGACAGCTGTGCCAGAGCTTGCGACTGACCCAAGGTCACATCAGCAGGTGCAAGTGGAGGAGTGGGGAATCAAACCCAGTTCTCCCAGATTAGAGTCCACACACTTAACCACTACACCAAACTGGCTCTCTTTTTGGTGGTCCAAAAATGCTCTTGCACCACTAATGGATTATAAACTAGAAGAATTATTGAACGAGATGGACTTGGCATACAGGATTTATCCGGATTTTATAAAGAAAAACAAACTCCCAGGAGAAATTTATGTGAAATTTACGAAACGATCTACCAGGGATCTGGTGCTAAAATCCATGATGGGGAAGGCTTTAAAAATTCAAAACGAAGATGTAAAATTTTTGAAAGATATCCCCTTTGAAGTGAGGAAGAAGAGGAGTCTTTGTAAGGAGCTTACTTTCTTTCTTCAAAAAAAGGGAATACCCTACAGATGGGTATTCTAAGGACTGAGTTTCAATTATGAGGATAAAAAAATTAAGATTGACTCCCTTCCTAAAGCAAATAAATTTATGACCCAATTTTCAAAGCCAAATCAAAATTAAAAAGAAAAGAAGACGGAACTTTCTGTGGACGAGGAAGAAGATGGCGAAGAATCCTACTCACAGGATTCAACAAGCACTAGTTCTAAATCTTCAGAGATTTCAGAATCTGAAAAAGGAGAAGCCACTCCCAAACCTCGGACAAGGAAGAAACGCAATAAGAAAAGACTCTGAAACTAAGATAGATGTTTATGCAGTTTTTGTTAAATTGATATTCAAAGCTCATTTTTATTCTTAAACCTTTATTTACAATGTTATTTTAACATTAGTAGGTGATTTAGTTGCAAATACATGTAATCTAGATCGTTTCACCCGTTAGCGCCATTCCCCCACACCCTAGTAGAATTGTAGTGTATAGTATCAGAGCCTCACTCCCCTATCCTTGTAGTAGTTAGTGATGTAGTAATGGAAAAACAATAAAATTAAAAAAGAAAGAAATTGAATCCGATGAAGATGGAGGTCCTATGCCTGAGTCGGAGTGGACCGTGGGTAGGGATCCCACTTCCGGCCTTCGATGGAGCACCGCTGGTGCCAGCGCCGAGGGTCAGGAGCTTGGGAGTGCTCTTGGAATGCCTCCTTAACAATGGAGGCCAAAACGCTGTCTCTTATACAACATTGCTCAGCAAATAAGTCTCCAATGGCCCTTCTAGCATTAGATATAGAAAAGGCCTTTGACTCAGTTCAATTTCCTTATCTTATATTGGTATTGAAAGACATGAAATTTGGGCCTAAATTCATACGCACAATCCAAAACTTGTATACGGACCCTACTATCAATATAAAAGTAAATGGAACAAGCTCAGACCCTATTCAATTGCAAAGAGGGACGAGGCAAGGATGCCCCCTATCGCCTGTGCTGTTTGCCATGGCAGTTGAGCCATTAGCTCAAGCTATTAGATCACATGAGGCCATTTCGGGAGTTAAAATCAGAGGTTCAGAATACAAAGCTTCTTGGTTTGCTGGCGATATGATCTTATATCTGACTAAACCAGACATTTCTATCCCAAAGTTAATGCAAGTACTAACTACATTCAGCAAAATTTCAGGTCTCAAAATTAATGAATCGAAATCCCAACTAATGCCCATCTGTCTCCCAGAAGAGATCCAAGCTCACTTAAAACGAACTCTTCCATTTGAATGGGTCACTGATTATCTACCTTATCTTGGGATCAAGCTAACGCATGATAGATCTAACTTACTTAAATATAATCATATTGAGGTACATAAGGAAATAGAACAACTAATAAATAAATGGGAAAAATTAAACCCCACGTGGCCTGACAGATTTCATCTTATAAAATCTTTTCTCCTCCCGAAATATATCTTTTTATTTAGAGCGCTCCCTATAGACGTCTCAGGAATAAACCTAAACACATGGCAAAAGACTCTCAATAGATTTTTATGGGCCGGG